AACAATTCTATTGGGAATGGAATTTGATGACCCAGAAGTAACATTACTTGCAGAACAAGTACAACGAATGACAGTTGCAGTGAAATATGAAGAACCACAAAATAAACAAGAAAAGAAACTGAATCAACTCTATCTAGAAGCCACACAAAGAGAAATAAATCAATTTAGAGAACAAGTAATAGGAAAAGATAATACTAAAAAAGACAAGAAAGAAAAAGCTAAAAGCTTAAATATTACCTTTAATCAACAAGAAGGAAGCAAAGTCAAAACACCAAAATGGGAACATTTATTAAAACACAATTGTCACAATTAGATCGAATCCTACAACAAGAAAAGGAACAAGAAGATCTAAGAATTAGAACAGGATTAAGACAGCTAAAACAATGATTAAACAGTATGGAAACAAATTATAAATATGTTTTCCAATTATCAAGACAACAAACTAATGAGCATATTCAGGAAATTAAAAGAGTCACAAATAGAAAAATATTAGAAGCAGAAACAGCAGAAGACAAAAAAGCTTACCTATACAAAACAATATCCACATTAACAGAAACAAAAGATGCTATTTTCTGGAAGAATAGAGATTTAGTAAAAGATTTAGAAGAAGAATATGGGTATACAACTAACCAAGCATTAAACCTAGACAGAAAAGATTTTGAAGCAATGCAAGAGTATGAACAACAAATCTTAATGGAAAGATTCGCCAGGCAAATGGAACTATGTAAAAATGAATCATTACAGGAACAATATAAAGCAAACTATGAGAACTATTGGGAGTATCTTTAGAAAACTTAGATAAAATATATGATGTAGAAGACGAAGATGAATGAATGTTCCAAGAACAACAATGAGCCAGAAGAAAAGACTTAGAATTACCAGAAACATTATCACCGAAACATCCATATTACGAAGAATATATACTAACAGTAAATGAACCGTGAAAAACAGAACAAATAGCAGATAGATGGTTATTAGAAAATAATTTTGGTAGAACACTAAAATGGTTAAATAAACAAGAAAAGATCAGTACACCAAAATACTGGAACAAACAATATCAAGAACAACAACAAGGCCAAGCTTACCAATATTACCAACCTTCTTTGATAAAGCAAAAGATATGGCGCAGGGCACATTAAGTGCATTACAACAAATGCTAAGTAGAAGAAATTCAATGCAATCGACACAATCATCCTACTCAAAACAATATCAATATAAATCATCACTGCTAATAAAAGAAGTACGACCAACTGATATAATATCAGAATCAAGTAGTCTTTATGTACCACAAGCGATGATGACCAACCAGTATTATCAAAATATGGCTACAAAAGACAAAAATTGCAACTATCAAATCAATCATTCTCAGTAAGAAATCCACGATTAGAACAATTCAGAAGAGAAAATCAACAAAGACAAGAACTATTCAGGAAGACAAAGGAAGAACAACTAACACAAGAAGATGCACAACAAATAGCTGAATTAGATAAATATATTCAAAAGAATACAAACGACTATAATGATTATAGTCAGAATAACTATAATAATCAACAAGGAGAATTATATGATCCAAATGACGAATAAGAAGCAGGAGGATCATCCCTACAATATAAACCAAAAGAAACCAAATGGACTAGAACCATAGAATCTGAATGGAAAGGTCAAAAAGTCCTATATTC